TAACTGTAACTGGTGTTTGATATATTCTTTTATGAATGTGTTCGTGATGACGCATGAAATTAGACAAATCTGAGACTTCGTTATCAGTTAAGTTTAACGAAATACCCATAGTGGCAATATGCTTTCTTAATTTCGTACCACGTAGTGTATGGGGAAACTTAGCCCCACATTCTTTGGAAAATCGTACCATCAAATTATATGCCAAGAGGTGCTTATCTGGAAGTTTATCATTTCCAGGAATGCCAAATACATATTTATTTTTTTTATGGACTCGAGCTTGACCACGCAATTGTATAATTTTTTTCACATACGCCAGCATTGAACGGTCAAGTATTACGGGCACAGTGCGTCCTAGCTTCCCACGAATAGAAAAACGGACGTATTTTTGCACTATTTTTTGTGCTGTTTTTGAAAGCGATTTATATATGTCTGAATTAGTGTTTTCGTCAATCTGCTCATAATTTTCAAAATCTTCGATCAACAATCTCTCCAACTCTCCAGGTCGGCGGCGATTAAATAATTGAATCAATGTTAATGTACACTCAGCGAGCGTTTTCCAGGATGAGATTGTAAATTCCTGCTCTACACACTCAAATGCATTCTGACATTTTTTGTTGAGATATAAATTTAAAGTTCGTATATCCTGCGCAGAAGGTAATTCAACCTTTTTTTGACGCTTAAGCTGTGTCTGTGATTCCACAACTGTTTTATTTATAGTAGCTCCATAATCTCCTTTAAGAAGCGTTAAAAATTGTTCCGCATTATTTTTGTTTTCATTGCTATGTGTTTTTATACATTTACAAATGAAAATTTCCCCAATATATTTCACGAGAGTGCCAAGATTTGATGCATTGGAAGCAGCATCATAACGATCCGTTTCGGAATTGTATTTTGCTATTACATTGACTGCTTCGATGAAGCAATCGTAATACTTTGGATTATACAAAGAAGCAAAATCACTTATACTGTCATCGCTATTACGTAGCACTTGCAATAAGCGGCCTAAGAGTCTCAAGCGGGCACGTATCATTTTATGGTGATGCGTTGAGTGGCGATACTTAAAGCACATTTTGTTTGCGTATAAAATTAATAAGGCATCGTATCTTATTAACCTTGTAATGTCATCTTCACGCATGCAAGGGAATAGAAGTCTTCTAACCGTGCCACTAGCTTCTGAATGTACTCTGCCTTCAATACGTCGTCCCATAACATTCACTACACGACTTTTCTTCCCAGATCGACCCGAACACACTGAAAAGTGATGACGAATTGTAGACCGATGGTAATGGCCCTTACAATTCCCACAAGCAATATAATTTAGAATTTTACTCATCTTGCCCTTCCTAGGCAGCCGCACTGGAATAAATCCTTTGTTTTTGTATTGTGGATTTGAATTGTATATAAAGTTTCCATTTTTCCGCAACGTATCTATGATTTGTTTTCTTTCAATCGATCCTATAGGCAAAACCGCAAATTTTTGAACGGCTTCCTCGGTTTTATGAACGTTTTCTAAGTGTCGACCTATTTTTGTCACTAATTTGCGGCAGTAAACACAATGATATTTTTTCGATTTTCCATCCCTCTGAACAATGTCATCTTCATCACAGCGATTTGAAGTTCCTGTTCTATTTAATGAACTTGATATGTCCATTCCTAGTGAACTATTTTGTTCGGCTCTGTGAGTATTTGAAGAATTAGGAATTGATTCATTCGATTGGTTCGTTTCAAAATCATAATTGCTCGATACTGGACTATCTGACGGGATGTACTCGCAATCAGATCCAGATTCATTTTCATTATCTGTCAATAACGAAATAGTAACATTATCTAGTTGATAAACACTTATGTTCGGTATAGAGTATTTAACTGTACACCTTGTTTGTCAATTGATTTTATTCAAGTGCTGACATTTGGACAGTAGTTAATAGTGTAATAAAATACAGGGTGTCTCATAGCCGTCAACTAATATTTGATGAGTTTGGAGAGAAATAGTGGAATTTTAAACTAAAGGTTTATTTCCAATTTCGGGTAAAACTAATATTTACTGGGTTATTAACAATTAAAGTCGGTGAATGAGATAACGCGCGAACGGCATGTACAGGAGAACACATGCTGTGTAGCCATTTACATTTATCATATTTCCCCGTTTAAAATTTTACTTCAATTCTCCAAATCACGTAATACATGTATAAACGAATAAAAATAGTTGTAAATTAATCCACATATCAATAAATATAATTCTTGTGTTGATTGATTGATTTATTATATAATTTTTTAATTAAAATAAAATTTCACCTGAAAAAACGTATGGCGAGCCCGACGGACCTTACAGTTATCGTGACCGTCCTCCGCCCCTGCAAACTACGGTTATAAATAATCTCACTGGCCAATTTTAATAATAAATAACTGGTCTAAGTTATAAATGTGAAAGAAACAATTAGTTAAAAATCCTATCTTTCTTGTCTCCTGAAATATGGATAATCATCTATGAGGCATCCTGTACATTTAAACGGAAGACTATGAGGAGTAATATTCACCAAAATTTCCTACAGAACTGTAGAGCAACACATATTCAGAAGAAACACTACATATTTTTATCAGTTGAAGTACTAAAATTTAAATTACGTATTTACCAACGCATTGTTTGAGAATAATTTACTTTACCTTGTGCATTCTGACTGTCTGGCACTGGTGTATCCTGACTGCCTGATAATGGTACACCCTGAAGTACAGCTATATCATTCATGTCTTTGTTTAGATTAGGCAGCAACGTATTATTACTATTGTCATATACAAACAATCTCTTTTGCGTTTCAAACTGTGCCTCTAAGAATGTAGATGAAAACATATCACTGAAATTACAGATAATTTAGATATTATAGCATATCACTATAATTATGGTATGAATTATAATAAACAAAAAATTACAGAAAAGACATTACAAAATAAAAACAATGATGTACAGACTATTTATCTACTAATTATTGTTAATTTCTAAATATATAATGATTGGAAAGTTTGATGTCGGCACAAACAATGAAATGAAGTGTAAACGTGTTTTCAATTTTATATTCCGTTACCTTTTGTTCCTTTTTTGCGCCGACTTCAAACTTTCTAAGCAATAAGTAGTTAGAAATTTACAGTAGTTAGTAGATAAGTAGTTTGTACGTCATTGACTTTATTTTTCGATTTTCAATTATTACACCTTTCATTAAAGTTTAAAAATTGTAATCATCTATGAAAGAAGTTGATTAAAAGAAAAAAAAATGTCTCATTTATGGTGTGGTTACTGGCAACCTTCCACAATTCATGATTTCCATTGTTTATCGATTTGATAATCGGATCATGATAAAGCTTATATGGGACCACCTCGAAAATACTGAGACAAAAAAGAATCATCAAAATCGATTACCCCAGAGAAAGGTGCGTGGATATACATAACAATATATATACATTTACAGATCAAATTGATAACTTAATTTTGTTCTTAATTAGAAATTACTTACATTCCTGTGTTGTTCTTATTGATAAGAATCTCATTCATTGCACCCATAATTCCATTCATATTTTCTAAATTACTCAAATCATTATCTGGATAACATAACATATATTATTAAGGAATAAATTGTTTTCTGAAGATCTTTTTAATAGCAAAAAAAAACATAATTTTAGTGCAACTAACTTGATTTCACTGTGGAATATAATGCATCGTTGGGGTGGGTAAAATTAATTCCACTACCTTCGGCGACATTGAATCTTAAAAATAAAATGTAAAGTTGCAAACATGATACCAACATTGACTTAACATCTAAATACTCTCTAATATTTGAATCTATTCTCCAAGGATATACAAAGATTGATATAATAAATAAACTTATATTTTTAATATACACGCAGAATACCACTCATGCTTACATCGTTATATTGGATGCAGATTCATTAGATTTCCCAGCGATTACAACATGCCAATGAATGTGTTGATGTAACAAACGGTAGATGCCATTAAAGTGCACATAAGTGCACATAAATCCAACATGCAGAAACAAAAGCAATCATAACACTTTCCCTATGTAGCCATTTCAATGTGTGTGTGCAATTCATAAAGGCTTTCAAGCAATCGTTTAATCGTATATAATGAAAGAGTAATATATGCAATATCTGTACAAACCATCTTGTTCTTTTCCCGGGGACCGGGTCTGCCTCCGGGAGACTACAGCCCGGGCATAAGACGTGGGGCAGGAGCATCTCCATCGCCAAGGCGTCGATCCGGGAGAGCGGTGGTCCAGGGCGGGTCAGTGGGGCGTCCCCGATGTCACGGGGTCGCCTGGCTCCGGCGGCCGCGGGTGACCGACTCCGGGCTGGGGCTCGAGCCGACCGTGACCGTTTCTTCTTCGGGACCCACGGCACAGCCGATCGCGACCTCCGGGGGGTCCTCGGAGGTGGCTGATCGCGGTCCTCCTCCTCCTCGTCCTCTGACTCCACCTTTATCGGAGCCACTTCCGGGGTCCTTGGGGAGGGTTCCGCTTGTACCCCGATGTCCTGGATCTGAGGGGGCTCAGGTGGGGTGTGTGGGTCGGCCGTGGACGGCGTGAGGGCCCCCGTGGTTTCCGGGGTTGGTCCAGCCTTTGGCGCGTCGGGCGCCGGCCCGTCCGGGGCAACGTCGGTCCCGGGTGCCACGGGGTTTTCCCCGCCGGGCTGGCCGAGGCCCGGGCGGCTGGTCGCGCCCTCCAACACCGAGAGGCAGAGAGCCTCCCAAAACTCCGGCAGGACCTCGGTTATGATCCCGACCAGGGCCCGGTATGGTTGGAGGCGAGCCCACCGTCCGAAATCGGGTTTCGTCGGGTTGGGGTCCATTCTAGGTCGTTTGTCCGTTCGCGTTCGTGAGGCCAGTCCGTCAGTCGGCTCCGTCGGCAGCTAATATGTCAGTCTAGAACCGCGGTCGGAACGTAACAAAAAGGAAAAAAAAAAGGAAGAGAAAGCGCAAGATTACTTGCAAAGCCTTAGTGCGAGATAAGCTTATTGGTCAGGAGGGTGGTATGGTTTGAGGTTTTCAACATGCCCTTTCCCACCACCTGCCCGTTCAAGGTACTGACTTCATATACCAGGTTAGACAAACGGTTAGTGATTCGAAAGGGACCATGGTATTTAGGAGCAAGCTTAGCTGCGAAAGGTTGCGTGCCTGCGAATAAGATGAATTGCCTTTTTAAAATCATGTCGCCTACCCTGAATTGGTTCTTCCGCCTGCCGGCATTATAATAATTCGCCTGTTTTTGAAATGCGTCCTGTAAATTGTGTACAACGCGTTCCCGAAGTTGCGTTAATTTTTGCATGCGCTCTCCCCAGGCGGGTGGAGTCTGGGGGTCTATGGTTACGTCCCCCCGTGGAGTAGGGGCCCTTGGCACCGCGATTCTAGGCTCGCGTCCGGAGTTCAGAAAGGCCGGGGTGGCTTGCAAGGAGGCGTGGTAGGCCGTGTTATAGGCAAAACGGAAGTCACCGAGGTAGCTATCCCACTCGCGATGATCTTCCTCTAGAAACGCAACCATCATGGTTTTCAAGACCCGATTGACTCGTTCTACCGGGTTCGACTGTGGGTGGTACGGCGGAGTAGTGATATGGATCATTCCGGTCTCGGCGACTAGAGCTTTGAGGTCGCGATTTATGAATTCCGTCCCGTTGTCGGTTAAGAGGGCCTCTGGTGCGCCCCATCGAGAGATTACTTGTTCGCGAATACTCTGACTAATACTTTTCCCGTTCGCATGTCGCAGAGGGCAACACTCGATCCACTTCGAGAAGGTATCCTGGATAACTAGAAGGTACGCATAACCCGCCTTACTCCTAGGTAGGGGTCCCATAATATCGGCCGCGATTAAGGTCCAAGGTTGTTCGATTACGCGATGGCCCATGAACCCAACCGGTAGGGCCTGTTGTACCTTACACCGTTGACAGGTGTCGCACCGCGAGACGTAGCGGACGACGTCCTTATAAATCCAGGGCCAGTAATACAGAGTCGTCAGACGGCGGTAGGTCTTAGGGAACGGCGTGACAGTCTGAAATCACTTGTCGTCTTTCTTCGGAGGGTAGGACGAGTTTCCAGGCATTCAAATCCTGTACGTCCGCGGCCTTGACTAGATCGGGTCGGTGGCAGAACAATTGTTCGTCCTCGACCTTCCAGTCCGGAAACTGCTCGGGGTGGTCCGAGACGCCCCTAAAGCGTCGAAGATACCATTGATCGGTTACATCAGCGAGAGCCATTAGGGTGGCTTCGGTCGAGGTTACTGGTGCCTGTTCCGGGATTCGTGACAGCGCGTCGGGTACGTGGTTGAGCGCGCCCTTTCGGTACAGCACCTCGAAATCGAACTCAGAGAGTTCCAGGGACCATCTCGCGAGTCTACCTGTGGTGTCTTTTAGATTGTGAAGCCAACGCAGGCTGTTGTGGTCGGTTATGACTTTAAAGTGGTACCCTTCCAGGTAAGGCCTAAATTTTCGAATGGACCACAAGACGGCTAAACATTCCAGTTCAGTCGCGGAGTAGTTTCGCTCGGGCGCGGTTAAGGACCGACTAGCGTAGGCTATGACGTGTTCGACGTCATCTCGTGATTGGGTTAATACGGCGCCTAACCCTACTCAGCTAGCATCAGTTTGTAACATAAAGGTATGGTTAAAATCGGGATACGATAAGGTAGGTGAGGTAATTAAATGATCGCGCAAGGCGGCGAACGCGTTCTCCTGATCTTCCTTCCAGGACCAGGGTTGGTTTTTCTTTAAAAGCCGGGTCAATGGTTCGGCTAAGCTAGAGAATTGAGGTATGAATTTTCGGTACCAAGAGGTCATACCGAGGAACCTACGTAGCTGAGAGAGGTTACGTGGAGCGGGATACTCCAAGATAGGTTGAATCTTGTCTGGGTCAATTTGCAGACCATTTCGGTTTAACAAGAACCCTAGGTACCGGACTTGGGAACGGCAGAATTCGGATTTTTCGCGATTTGTGGATAGTCCGGCGGAAGTGATCCTATCCAAGACACTACGGAGCTGAATCAAGTGCTCGTCAAAGGTACGAGTAACTATAATTATGTCATCTAGGTATGCAAACGCGTAGGGTTCCATTTCTGGTCCTATTAACTGATCTAATAGGCGTTGAAAGGTAGCTGGAGCGCTGGATAGCCCATACGGTATACGTTTGAACTGAAACAGTCCTCTACCGGGGACAGTAAACGCGGTTATTTCGCGACTAGGCACCGCTAAAGGGATTAGAAAATACGCTTGACTCAAGTCGAGAGTGGAAATGTAATGGGCACTTCGAAGCTTGTCGAGGATACTACTCATGTACGGAAGAGGGTATGCATCCTTCTTAGATACGCTATTCACTTTCCGAAAGTCTGGGCAGAATCGGTAGGTACCGTTTGGCTTACGTATCATAACTATGGGACTTGACCACGCACTATGGGAGGGTTCGATAATGTCATCTGCCAACATCTTATCGACCTCTGCATACATTGCTTCGCGGACTTTATCGTTCACGGGGTAGTATCTTTGTTTGATGGGCGAATTGCCGTTAACGTCGATGTGGTGTTCTATTAATGTCGTTACGCCAGGCTTCGAAGTTTCGGGAGGAAGATATTCCGCAAGGAATTGAGTCAAACGGATTTGTTCAGCTTCGGTCAATTCCGTTAATCCGAAGCACGAGAAACTCTGTAACGGGTTATCAATTTCTGAAAAGGGAAAAATAACCGAAGGGTTCGTAGCGAAGTGCCACGTAACCTGTGCGAAATCAATTTTAATTTCGAAGATAGTAAGGAACTCTAGGCCGACTATACACGGGAGAGATAACGCGGGCAAAAGACGTACAGTCATTGGTTTCCGGCAACCCTGTAGTTCCAGATCTATTTCCACCTCCTCGAGCACGTCTTCTACTTGTCCGGTGGCTATCATGACGCGTAGGGTTGGAGCGGACTTTATCGGAAGTCCCAAGGTATGAACCAGAGAGATGGCTTCCGTGCCGAAAAAGGTTCGGCTGGCACCGGAATCTACCAGGGCGAGCAAGGGATACTTGTGGACTTGTAATTCCACGACTAAGGCTCGACGGGTAGATTTGACAGAAGTTATGGTGGTTTCGACCGAGGTCATCGCCGGTTCGGGACTTGATTCCATTCGGACCTCCCTCGCGTCCTCGGGAGTAGTAAGGGCCCGATCAGACTCCTCCCGGGTTAGTTTCCCGAACATTTGGGGCAGTTATGGCGGGTCACTCCCTGTTGCCCACACCGGAAACAAAAGATATTAAGGTCCTTTGGACAGTCCATAAATCGATGCCCAATCTCCTTACAGTTCCAACACGATGGAGGAGGTCGCGTCGGTGGAGGGTTATCGCGACGGCTCGAAGTTGGCTTTTCCGGGGTCTTCGCGGAAGGTCTGTCCGAGTGGCGCGGTGTCTCTCGTTTCCTAAAATCTCGCGGGTTGGTGTTTCGGATTTCCCGGTTCTCCGAGGGTCGCTGCCTTTCGCGAACGGGCAGGTCCGGGCGCGACTGATTGACCGGGGCTACCACGTTCAGGAGTTCCGGGGATTCCTCGTATTCATCTCCCGAGGTCCCTAAGTCTAAAGCGGCAAAAGCCCGCTGGGTCGTTTTGGTCATCGTCCTTGTGTTCGATGACGGCCGATGATAGGCAAAGTCGGGACAGAGGGATTTCTCCGGGGGTGGCGGCGGAAGGTATTTGTTCGCGGCCACGACACTCCGTTCGGCTCGGATAGCTAAGATTTCTAGGTGGTCGAGAGTAACCACGTCCTCGCGTCGCACCAAAATGTGGAGGCGTGGGATAAGGTTACGATGCGCGTAGTTGGCCCGTTCCGCTTCGGACCAAATCGGTCGTAATCGGCCAAAAAGGGAACGCATAAACGTGAGGTAGTCGGCGACCGGTTCGTCCACCCCCTGGGTCCGTCGGGTGATTTCTTCCCTAAGGGCGAACTGAAAGTCGGGATCGCCGAAACGTTGTCTCCAGGCGGCAACAAATTCTTCCCACGTGAGCCAACGCTCGCAGGTTGCACGGTACCAATACAGGGCGATCTCCGATAGGCAAAAGGGCAAACATCTCAGTAGGTCCCTATCGCGAATAGGCATTAGTGCCCTCCCATCCTCAATTCGGGCTAAAAACGCTTCCGGGTCCTCATGCTTCTTCCCGGAAAATCGGACGTTCCAACTGCGAATCGTTTTTAATATCATTGCAGGGGAAGCTTCGCGGGGTTCGAAGGGCCTAAAACGGTCCCTATATTCCCCGAACATCGGATCCCGATGCCTAGGCAGAGGGGACGGGGAATCCCGCAGGGGTAGTTCGTCTTACCCAGGTGGGAGTCCTTGCCGACGTAAGGGCGGAGGTCCTTGGTTTAAGACCGTACCCGTGGAAGTATGAGTCGCTCCACTCGAACTCGGGGGTGGTTCATCTATAGGTCCACTTTCTCGGGGAGGCCCCTCATAATCTGGCGGGTGTTCCCCCCGTGCCGGGGAGTAGTCGGAATGGGTGGACCCATCTAAGGATTCCCGCGGTTCCTTAACTGGTGGAATCGTAGACATGTTTGCGTCGGATTATCCCGAATTGAAACCGAAACGCCTCGACTTCCGTATAGAAGGACGGAAGAGAAGTTAAAACGGGGAGAAAAAGGAAAAACCGGGTGGTGTAGGGCCTAAAGGGCGAAGGGCCTTTGGGTCCTACCAAAGGGTTTTAAGGGAGCGTGCGAGTAGGTACGAACGCGCGGGGCTATGTTCCGCCGCGCGAGCGAGCTACCGCGGTGGGACTGTAGGCGATACGCCAGGTACCGTGGTACAGTCTCCGTCAATAATGGACGGCTAGGTACCGTTGGGATTTAAAGTTCCCCAAAGGGCGAGAGCCTATCGACCCTATCTCCTAACCCGAAAGGTAAAATAAAATCGAAAGAGAATAATAAAAAGTATGTAGGGAAATTATCAAAAAGGGACTAAGGGACACGGGTCCCTAATAGGGCGTTTCGCCCAGAGAAATGAAAGTTCCGAACTACGGAAGATTAGGGTGAAAGGTAAAGCTCAAATTATTCGTAAGGTCGAATAATGTATTTGAGAAAAGGGAATAATTTCAGCTGTGAATTATTCAAATATTAGGTTGGTGCGTATGAATTGTCGGATTCTTAAGTAATTGTATAAAACTGCATATCTTTCTTCAAAAGCTGTTTATTCACTCAAAGTATGCTCCATTCGCTTCAATACACTTCTCCCAACGAGATTTTAAAGCGTAGATGCCTGTCTTAAAAAAATTTTGGTCTTTAGAATTAATAAACTCTGATATCGAGTTTTTTAGACTGTCTTCATTTTCATAGTGTTTGCCCCTTAAAAACAGCTCTAAATGCTTGAAAAAATGGAAATCGGTCGGCGAGAGATCCGGTGAATATGGTGGATGCTGCAAAACTTCATATTCCAGTTCGTTCAGTTTCGCAATTGTTTTGTGCGATGTATGCGGCCGAGCGTTGTCATGGAGCAGTAGCGGGCCATGCCGATTCACAAGCGATGGGCGTACAATTTTTAACTTATCGTGCATCTCATCAATGTACTGGCAGTACTTTTCGGCCGTAATTGTCTCCCCAGGTCGAAGGAACGAATAATGGATTACCCCAGCCGCGTTCCACCAAACTGTGAACAAAATCTTCCGTGGATGAAGCGATGGCCTTGGAGTATGGGCACAAACCTCATCCTTGTCAAGCCACCGAGCACACCTCTTTCTATTGTCATAAAGAACCCATTTTTCGTCACACGTAATGATCCGATCGAAAAATGGCTCTCGGTGGAATCGGGTTAGCAATGATGAGCATACGTTTAACCGATCCAGCTTATTTCGC